GGAGACCCTGCACCATGTGAGCAACTGTTGCCTGCAGCCCAGTCAATCCAGCTTCAGGCGTCCCCAGTGCACCAGCGTGGAGCCGGGCTCCACAGGGTTTCCAATGGCTGGTTTTTCAGAAGCAGATCCCAATCCTTTCTTCCAAGGTGCCTCTGGTCGGACTTGAACCTCCAGCCTTTCCATTCTAGCCATAGGCTTTTTCTCCTGTGTGAGACTGTTTACCCAAAGCTGCCTCACAGGGGCGCTTCCAGTGTGGAACTTCTGCCACGGCTTACCACGCCGGTACCAGGCACTCGGGGAAGACCCTCAACTGCCCTGCCCACCCTAGTCCAACTCTTATGCTGTGAACTGCGTCACACGTAAGCACAAGCCAAGGGGCTGCTTGCTGACCCAGAAGGAGGACCAGGGGGCTGTGGGTCTCAAGTTGGGGTGACTGTATGTATGGTTTCACAGCTCAGAGGGGCTACTGGCACCGGGTTGGGGGAGTCCAGGGACATGCTAATCGTCGTACAGCAAGATCCCAGGGTGGGCCCACAACAAAGATGGACCCAGAGCAGGATGTCAACATGCAGAGTTTGAGAAGCCTCAGCGGAGGTTGAGTTGGCGGGTCTGCAGCTGAACTGGAAATCAACCATCCAAGGCTGGAAGCGCTAATTTAAGTAATCCCAGCACTTTGTCTACTTTTTATGTTTTTGAGGTTTGTTTGCTTGCTTTTAACTCTATATTGATATTTATTTTACACTGTTTCTGATTAAAATGCATGTATGGAAAGTATTTACTGAACACCTACCACCTGCGGGGAATCTTGGCTGATGAGGTGTCCCCTGTCTGCTTTCCAGGGAAGATGAGACTAGTATCAGTGCCCTGCAGCCCACTGCAGCACACAGTGAGTGCAGGGCCCCACCTCACAGGGCGGCACTCCCCCAGAGAAGTCTTTGGGGGCTGCCATCTGCCCAGGCCCAGATCGCCAGGTGTCTCCCCCACAGAGCTACAGGGAGGGTTCCAATCCTCCCACCTGTTAGTGAGCAACTGAGTTCAGTTAGCATCTATCTGCTAGACCACCAGGGCTCTCCAGAAGACGGGCTACACCCCAAAAGGCGTAGTTGGAAACTCTCAGGCCTCTGAAGGGAGTGTGCAGCGTGAGGGCGCAGTCGAGAGAATAAAACCCAAGAGAAAGCACCGACCTCACTGCCACGAGTCAACCCCGACTCTGAGAAAGAGGAGGGTGCCTCCTGGGGTTTCTGAGACACTTCCAATATTCAGGAGGCCGGACAGCCTCATCTTTCTCTAGAGGGGTGGCTGGTGGGGTCGAACTGCTAAGCAATTCCTAACCCACTCGACACCCCCGTGGCTCTTGTGAATAAAGAATACAAGAGGAACCTGACTGAGTGGGAAAGGGCCCGGGGAAAGGGTCCAAATCAAGGCCCTGTCCAGGTGGAGGAGGTGCGGGTGAAGAAGGAGACACAGGTAGAGGAGGAGACGCAGGTGGAGACAAAAGTGAAGGAGTCCCCAGCAGAGTGGGCAGCTCACAGAGACACTCTGAGAGTGGTCCCGTGCTGGGGACAAAGTCGGGTCTCGCAGGACGTTAGCTCTGATCCTGAAAGATGGTTGCCAAGCAGCACTGATCCGTTCAGATGGGCTGCTCTGTGAGGACAGTGAGTGGGGGACCGGGCCACTGGAAAGAGAAAGGCCGCCCGCCAGGCAGGGTCTCCTCTTCCTGGGTTTGAAGTGGACCTGAGGCTCGGCTACAGAAGTGGAGCAGGAGGAAGTGGGCTGATGCCTGACACGCCCAGAGGGGGAGGCAACAGGGCTGGATGAGGGTGAGTTGGCAAAGATGCTCCAAGATGCCCAGGAAGTGTCTGTCTGCTGGCTGTAGGATAGCTAAGGGGGGTGGGGGTGGGGGCAACTACCAGATTGGGGGGTGGGGGTCAGGGGTCTTCTGAACATGTTCAAGTGGCAAACAATCCCACTGATTCGAGTTTCAGGGTGAACACAATGACTAATGCAAAGCCGGTCTCACCCGCTTTGCCCTCTCAGCATGCCGAGGAAGTAGTGATTGAGGAAAAGCAAGGCCTCTACAGGAGAGGATAAGCAGGCTGAAGGGGTCTTCATGAAGGGCCCCTACCAGGTCTGGGCCAAAGGGAGACCAACAGCCTTTCCCTTCCTTCAGCAGGAAACGCCATGGCCAGGAGGGCCAGCCCTCCATCCCCACCCCACCCCTGCAGCCACAGCCCAGGGTCAGGCCTAAAACAGAGCTAGGGACCAGTTCCCAGGCAGGCAGGTGGGGCTGCCAACCCACTGCCAGTCTAACAGGCAGCGGAGGGCACGGAAGGCAAAGGACTGACTGGATCGCAGCCCCAAGCATCCTTTAAAGTGTAGCAACACCTCTCTATCACCATCCTCCTGGGAAAGCACTCCCCGCGGAGTACCTGCATCACCCTTCAACTGGGTGCCTGCTCTTACTTATTCTGAGTCAGCATCCTGATTTGTGTTTGGGCCTCGGTACTTGTCTTCTTTTGTGAAGTGGCCAATTTGTCACCTCCGCCCATGCCAGTGGGGTGCTCCTCCAAAGGGCTCTGCAACCCACCCCACCCCTGGTGGGGCTGGCATGCCCCCCC